TTTAGCAATTTTCAATTTGCATATGTATGTATATATGTATTTGTGTATGTGTATGTTGTAAAATATAGGTTTTTGTACACGTTTGGTTTATAGGCTTTAAAATATAAATACAATCCAATTCGATTCGATTTTTTCAAATTCGAAACACGGTGACTCCAAAAATAATTTTCAATGAATTACTGCAATTAAATTTTAATTAAAATAACTTGTAGTAAATCAATCAAAGCCAAATACAGAATGATACACAATAAATTTAAATTTAAAAAATATACATAATTATTTAAAATATGTGACATTAAAATAAAATTCTAGTAGTAAGTTGTATACAATTTTGTTCTATAATTACTTTTCACATGACGATTTTTAAACGTCCGTTACAATAAGTTGGACACATCGGCAGCAAAATTTCGATTTTAATTGTTTCATAAGAAAACGTTTATTTTCACTAAAAAATAAATTAAGTTTCGATAATTTGTATTTGATAAGCAACAAGGTTTTTTTAAATAGTCTCTAAGCGAATGGACTAGTCAACTAAATGAATAAATATTTAATGAAAATATATGTACATGATCGTATAAAAGTACAACTGTATGCACAAATTTCTTCTTTAAATTTATTTTTGAAAACTTAAGCAATTATGACTTTAGGTCGAAGTTACCAACACAATTAGGTCAGTAAGTATAATTAGATTAATTTGGTCGACGTTGAATCTCTCTGTATCCTCGTTATGCGCGTAATAATTTAAACACAAACATGTACCAACTTATATTCAACCAACAATGTTTTTATTCTAATAAAATATTTTATAAACCATTACTAATTACAAGTGGAAACACACATATGTACAAATATATAAAAGGAAAACATATTTCTATTAATATCAAAATTGCCTTAAGCTATGAGCTATGTATATAATATCAATTCGTCAATAATCCGATAACAAAATTATTTCAAATGTACAGCATCATTTATGCATAAACCTATTTCTACTTTAATTTCACAGCTTAGCACTGAATCGTGAGTAATCCAACGCTGGATAGCTTCGATAAATTTCCTTCCAAAAATCCATACGATCTTTGTCTGGATCACGATCCATTCTACATTCTTCATCAATAATCAGACAATTCAAGCTCAAACCCTTCTCCTCACTATCCACGCTGTTTATGGGCTGCCAAACACAGCCCAAGTCTTTTGTGATATCGCTTTCTGCTGGAGTGGGGTTACCATAGCGAGCAAAATTAGTCCACATTACACTAAGACGTTTAATATTGCGTCTATCCTTCTCTGCAAACTTCGTTGAATCAATACCTGGTGTTTGGAAAAGATAATGCAATTCGTCAGCATGGCATGCGCCTGGTATGAATTCCAACTGCAAGTGTCTTTTAAAAAGATCCCGACCACCTGTATAGTCATAGCGGTAGAAATAGAGAGGTGAGCGCGTTTTATATTTCGCTTGATATTCCACAGCCACCTGCAAGTCAACCATAAAGTGATAGTCTGTCAACAAATTCGTCATGCGATCTAATTGCTCATGGGTGATTTGGTGACCGTTAAAATAGAAGTCGCGCAGTTTTTGTGCCACATATTGAATTTCCGCGTCATCAGTAGCGAGTGGTACATTTCGTGGCACAAAACGGGCAAGGTCATTATTTATTTCTTCGATTTTGCGCACCGCATTTATCAGCATCAGAATACCCTCAGCTGAGTTGTAGCCCATTATCGTTGGCATGGCACTTGTGTCTTTACATTGTAATAGTTCTAAAACCGGCGTGTCAATAAAGGTATCTGTACTACTGGAATCTTCAACTACAGGATGGAAGGTAAAAGGCAGTCCTCGGCGACGTTCATCTGACGATAGTACAGGCAAAATGTTCTTAAGCACATCCATTGGTGTCACTTTTTCATGGGACTGTAAATAATTAAGCATAACGCGCGTATCACGTGATTTACAACCGAGCAATTCGCAGAATCTACGAACTCTTCGCGCGGGATTTATTTGAAATACCCAACCCATATTAGCCGAACCACTTTGCATAATTGCTTTGTGAAATAGTTTGTGGGCATGGGATGCTAATGTGTGTAAATGAACTGATGCAGCACCAGCACTTTCTCCGAATAAAGTAACATTATTTGGATCACCATTAAACTGTGAAATATTATCGTGCACCCATTGCAAGGCCAGACGCTAAACAAAGTTGGACGATGAAATTTTCATGATACACGAAAATAACATTTAAATATTAAGCATTTACCTGATCCTTTAAGCCAGCATTTCCCCAAATACCTTCCTCAGGCAGGCACAAAAATCCCCATGCGCCCAAACGATAATTCAATGTCACCACAATAACATCCTCGGATATTAAACTTAGTGGCAATGTACTAAAACCAGGATTACATAGAAGGTTATTTCCATATATAATATAGTATTGCAGTTAGAAAAAAAATACCTACGCACCCATTGCTAGAACCAAATATGAATCCTCCGCCATGTATCCATACCATAACTGGAAGCGGACCTCTTTTGGAAGGTTTGGCTGGAGCATATACATTGAGGTGGAGACAGTCCTCTGAACCCAATATATTTTCTGTCATTGGTTCTTTTTGATGACAAGGCGATTTCTCTTGTGTACAATCTAAAATAGGTGTATCAAAAGATTCCAGTGGGACGGGAGACTGCAATAGATTTGAACAGGATATGGGTTGCATGCAGGAATTATACTTCACGTTATGATTACCCTAAATCGTAGTTCACCGAGTGGTGGTACTGCATACGGTACACCCAGAAAGCTATGGTATGGTTCACCATTTGGTAAACAACCTTTGCGACCAACGACAACACCTTGTCTTACTTGTACCTTGACCCGTGATGACTCCTGTCGATATAACAAAGATTTCAATATCAAAATAGACAAAACAATAATTGCAACTATAACAATGTACCATTGAACTGTAGTATCTAAGACCACTTCGATGCGATTGGTTAATAGAAATTTGCGAACATCTCAACAACATTGGGAAGTGACCGCAAAGTAAATTACGGTGGTAAGCTTTTAACAACATAACAAAAACTTGATAAGCACTTTGGCAGTGCAGTTTTAACAGCCGGTTCTTTTATTTTTGTTATCTATTAAGTATAATACGGGTCGGTACTTCTTTTACGTTAATTTCACGCTAAATATTTTTGATACTTATAACAGAATATTGAACCCATTTGTCAATATGTATAGCGCAATAATCTTGTAAACATACAGAAATTTTCTTACGGGGACACCATTTCATTGCGAATGACCTAGTTTGAAAATACCCACTATTCCAATATTATTTTAGTTTTTTAAATCAACTGTATTACTAAATTAATATGGGCTTATGATTGATAGCGTATATTATTTTTTGTAATTTTACTTTTCACCTTTTTTTGTAGTTATTGTGTATAATTCAATTAACTCTCCTTTTCTCCTATATTTTTACATCTGGCATTCTTATACAACATATTGTAAATTGTTAAGTGTAAGAAGCAGATGTTTATTTGTTTTGCCATTTGTATTAAAATATTTTTAAGAATTCATATATTTAATAGCAAAGAACAAATTGACTACCGATGGGTGCACTGTTTGCAAAAAGTAAAAAGCAAAGCCGTGTTACTGAACACGACAAGGCTGTGCTGGTAATTTGCACCTTCCCGAAAGGTTAAGACCTTATCAAATAATTTTTCTTTGTTTCCTGTGTTAGCGATTAAAACAACAACGGGATAAGCTGAAACAGTATCAGAAACGTATTGAATTACAGCTTGAAAAAGATAGGGAGCTAGCCAGAAAATGTCTTCAAACAGGGCGACGGGAGTAAGTTCAATCGATATATTTCACGAATTTAATATTAATGACATTTTTATTTTTTAGCCGGGCTAAATTACTACTCAGGAAGAAAAAGTTCCAAGAAACACAACTTATCAATGCGGATAAGCAATTGGAAAATCTGGAAAAAATGACTGCTGATTTGGAGTTTGCTCAGGTGGAATTGCAAGTGATAGAAGGCTTGAAGCAGGGTAATGCAGCCCTTAAGAAGGTACACGATTTAATGGATATTAATGAGATAGAAAAGATCATGGACGAAACAAGGGAAGGAGTGGAAAAGCAACAAGAAATAGATGCCATATTATCAGGAGCACTCAGCGAAGAAGACGAAGAAAATGTTTTAGCGGAATTGGATGCATTAGCTGCAGAAAACGCTACTAGTTCGTTACCTGAGGTACCAGCTGAAGATTTACCTGAGCCGGAAGCCAATGAACCGATAGAAGATGCTCTCACTGCTAAAAATGATGCTGATGCGCCAAAAAAGAAACGCAAAAACCTATCAGAGCAAGATAAAAAAGTGCTTGTGGAAGCGTAAATGTACATATGTATATACCTATCTCTTTACACTTTCGTATTCAATTAGATTCGGCAACACCGTCTACATTCGTTTTTGTTTGCTTTTATTGTTTAAATTAATACTAAGTCACTTAGTTTAAATATATATACATAAAAAGTTTTATAAATAAATTTATAATACGAAAGATACAAATATTTTATTGAACACGTTTTAAAAAAGTAAGTAATATAGTTATTGTAATTGTATAATGTGATTCTCATTTAAGGTTCAGAATTCCTGCATTTGTTTTTGTTTGATTTTATACTTATACAAGCTAATACCAAGTCACTTAGTAAATATAAATAAAAAACTTTTATAAATAAATTAAAATACGAAASATACAGTTAAATACTTTTTGGGGTAGTAAAGTAAGTTATGATTTAAGGTTAAGAATGTATTGGACATGTAGTTATATGTATTTATGTGTCCACATAAATATATTAAAAATTAGTCATTCTCCAGTCAAGTAAATTAAATTTTCATAGGTATCTTGTGGGAAGTGTGGTAAGAACAGATATTATACGCACTATATATGTATTTATATGTCTAT